TCGATAAATTTCTAGATATTGACTCTTATTGTTAGATTATGTTAAATTTCATATATATTGTATTAGATAATAATTATTTCCATGATTTAAAAAAGATGAGGTTGCATATCGTAGTAGCATTTCACTTAAAAGTTAATACCGTGTACGGGCATCGAAAATAAAAAGATCTGACACATTGAATCGGCTATCGCGCACATGTCGATTTGACCATCGGCTATATGTGGAGTGCAAATTTCTTGCAGCTCATCCTCGCATTCACATGCAAACGAATAATCCATATTCCGTTTTCAGATGGTTGTTCAATTTTTTTTTATTCTAACCAAGTGGTGAAACAGCCAATACGATCGTCGTCCAATGAGAAACGAGGTGACCGTTTCGACACGGGGCAACTCGTTTGAAATCTCGCAGTAAATTCGTTTCTCCAACATCTGCGCGGCGATGATTGGATGGCGGATTGTTCGATAAAGCGGCGATCGGCGTTAGCATCCAACTCGGGCGCAGGACGAATGAAACCGAGAGAGGGTAGCAAAAGGATGACTTTCTCTTTCGCGGTTTGTTCGCGCTGAAATAGAGCGGTTTTGTTCTTATAAAGGCTAGTTAAAATGCAGATTCTATCAGTCGCTTCGAATGAAGACATACCTCCCGTGCATCGTGACTGATGCGCGTGCGGCTTTTATATAAAATTGTCTTCAAAGGAAATAGAATTTTAACGAAATTGAAAAGTATCAATAAAGAACGGTGTCGATACAGACGACGCCACAGTTTCCTCTGATCAATTTTCTCAGTATTACGCGGACTTAGTACAGGAATGTAATAAAGAATATATCAAGTATAGCTGGTGTACAAAAGAGAGCCATTATTATATATTTGATGAATAAATATTTAGCTGGTACAAGATATGTTCTATTGGTACATTTCGAATGCGGATGTTATAATAATTATTGGGTAAATATTTGGTGAATATAACAAAAAGTGATCCATTGATATGCAAATAAAATTCATCATAATGTCTGATGAATAAAACAAAAAGCTAGATTTCTGGCAAGTTATAATCTATACGATGCCGCATCTGTTTATCGACTTCGCAGCTGCTCGCCATTTCCCATGGATGTCCCGTATAACGTGGCGCATTTGTTTATCGCTCACGAACGACATTTTAATTTTCCAAACCATTTGTAATAGAGGTCGTTACGAATTTGTGCTGCGAGATGTAGATTCAATTAGATACCAATGACAATGCTGAGCAGAACAGCGAATGTTCGTGACACTGGGCCGCAGGTGTTTCAAACGACCAGCCTCTGTGTTCGGAAATGGTATTTACTACTAGCGATTGGTCGGAATTCACTCGGACGCGCGTTACATTGAACGCGTTTCGAACAGTTGCCATAGTACTCTTATTATTGATTCGACCTTTCCTTATAGGAATCTCCTATTATTCACGATAATGAATATTTTTTTAGTTAATTGAAAAAAAAGAGCATTAGATTGTGGTGATTTAAAAAAAATCACGTATTTTGGCGAGATCACTCTTTTTTTACGAGCTTAAAAACCAAGAGAAAAAGCAGCTCATCGCCGTTACGACATGCACACTAGACAATTTCACTCGTAGATCCTAGCACTAAAAGGGACTTTAGTTTTTCGAGCAAGTACATAAAAACCATTTTATTTCGAATATGTGTGAGGTGCTTTTCGCACGTTTTTATTTGATATTTAAATATACACGAAAAAGTACTTTTTGTATAAAAAAATTTACGAGATTTTTTTTTGGTACCATTTTGAATCTTATATCTATATTTGTGGAACACACTCACGCACATCGTTTCATGATTTTTACCGTCACACTAGTTTTTGTGAGTGAACTTACAGACAATACCAGATGTAGATAGCCGTTACTGTTTATAGTCCTTTAATATGGCTCGTAACTGGGGTGCCAGCCCCAGAGGTATACACGGAAGTGTCGTCACACTTGTTATTTCCCACCGGAAACATGGCATGCGCTTGTATATAGCTGTACAACGTTGTCACACTATTAATCCTTTTAGGATTAGGGTTTACAATATATGTCATATACATAGTCTGACAACTAAGATTGTATAGATGAAACTTATTTATATTCAAATACAACTCATATATTCATATTAAACGTTATCTTTTTCGTAATACGAATCTTTTTATCTGTATATCTATTTCGGTGAGGATTTTAGCATTACAAGTATGTTTGATATATTCTCTAGTTGCATTATAAATATTTTTAATATACTCTCTAATTGAATATTAGTAATAATCAGAATTTTATTGAAATGTTCTTCAATTTATAACACTATTTAGAAATAATACATGCTATTTTTTTTGTAAATACTTTTTAATAATATCATATCTAGAAACAAATGTTAACCTCATACAATAATGCAATTATCACATTGCGTGAACATCTGCAGGCATTGACCTGAATCCTCCATGCGTGAAAAAAATATATGTACAAACTAGCATGACATATTTTAAGAAGATCCATAAATTGTGAATAACGGGATGCATTGAAACATTAGGAAAAATTCTGAATTTGTGAAAAAAAATTCTGTCCGTTATGATAAAATGGCCTGTATATCACCTCTGGCTAGCGACGTCATGAAATTCTCTGGATAACCACCGGAGAATTTCATTTTGTCAAATAAAACTTGTCCGTGGACAGTTTTGCCGGACATAGAAGTGAGTAGAGGAAAACCGCAGGAATTCCGTTATTAATCTTTTACAGAGACACGGAATGCGTTTTTTAAACCGCGCTACGCTTATTTTCAAATATGCTGTGCATTTCCGTGATAACATATTTTTAACTTAGCTCAAATTCTATAATATTAAAATAAAATTTGAACTTAACACCTTCCGTTCTCCTCTCAGCGCCTTCCTTCTTAGTTTGTAAATAAAACGTTTGCTTAGCTTAATTATAATAAATAAAATTTCAAGAGAGAAGAAAAAACATTGAGACAAATTTTCTGTAGTATTGCACAACAATACGTGTTTACAAATTTATAGCAATGTTAGAAAGTATCGTTGCAAAATTGATTACAGATGTTTACGTATTCATACATCCTAAGAGTGCGCGTATTTTCATTTGACTTTCTGAATTTATCTTCATGAAAAACTTGAACGGATAAATTTGCTTTTTGAAACTCTTCAATGAACCGCGCGAAACTTGCTCATACTCGAACTCGCTTTTCGATGCGGTTAAATTGGTTGGAAATGTAACTCTCTCGAAGAGCAAAACTCTTTCGAGACTCTCGAGATTTCAAAAACGATCTTGTTACTTCTTTAATTACAGTTTTTACAATAAAATTAGAGATTCTAATCATTTATCTTCACTTCAATTTGAAATAATGAAATCTATATATGTATAAATTGTAAGTTTTCTTTCTATATTTTATTTTGTCTAGTTTTATTTCTTTCTTCGTACCTTATTTTTAATATCTTTTAATATACACACACACACACATATATATATATATATACGCTTAAATAAATTTAATGACTTAATAAAATAAAAAAGATCAATGCTTTTGTGTTGAAAAAAAATTTTTTTCTGCAAGAAAAAGCATTCGATCTTCTGTACATAAGTTATTCTTTGGTTTATTTTGGAATATACATGTATTTTATCATGTATATATGTATACAAATTTATAATCTTGTAATTAATATTATATAACCATTGACGATGATAATGGTAATATATGTTAGTAATTATTTCAATTGTGTATTTCATCAGGACGGAAACATTGCTTAAAGTATACCACGAATTTGCTTATTATCTTGCTAGTCTTCAAACCTTAAGTTTTAGTACGACGATGAACGAAAGGGCAACGAACAAAATTGAAACAGAAAGATAAATCGGACTTCAAAGTATCTTTTCAACTCGCGGAAAGCAGCGCAAATACGAGCATGATAGGAGTGAAGGAGAAAATGGTAAATTGGCGCTGAGATAGAAGTAGTATTAATTTCTCCGAAGCACGGAGATTCTGCCACATCTACCTCTGTCTACTCCGAAATCTTATTCTTTTCTTTGTCCACTTCATAACGTCTGCAATAACGCAATCAGTTTTACTAGACTCGAGAGAGGCGAAACTGTCTTTTATTAAACTCTAAACATTCACAGAGAAAGTAAATTCTCGATTGTCAAGGAATTAAAAATATACAAATACTGAATTAGTAGTCTGACAATTAAATATGCAAACAAATCTTTCTCAATTAATATGGAAAGTTAATTAATTAGAAAATACAATAAAATATAATTAATCTCTCATTGTAAATATATAAATACATTTTGTTCCGATAACATGTAAATAATGTTTTAATTATTAATACTTCCGCGGGTACTTTTTATATAGAAGTTATGCATTTCACGTATTATCTCCGTATTCAGATCCATTATTAGATATCAACGTTTCGTGAATATTGCAATTCACTTTATCAGGACGAAACAGTCTGATATGTTTTAATTGTGTATTTAATAAAAATCTTTGTAACTAAAAATATTAAATAATATTTATAAAAATATCGATAAATTATTTAGTATTCAAAAAGACATATAAAAACAATTCAAATATCAACGACCAAATATATGGGCAATATAAGATGTTTTATTAAAATTTTAAAATTATTTTAACATACCATTAAAAAGAATATAACAATAGACGTCTCGACTCACAGAGTCTTCCTCAATATAATAAAATAAACTTATCAATTTTGATTAACAATATTGCAAATCAAGAATAATTTTTCCATGTCAATTAATGGTATTGATGGTAAACCATCTATTGTTATATTCTTTTTAATGGTATCTTAAATTAATTTTAAGATTTTAATAAAACATCTTGTATTGCTCATACATTTGGTCGTTGATATTTGAATTGTTTTACTGTGCAAACTTCGAGCGTTATTTATTTATATCATTGTATTATTATTACGCAAAAGACACATATACATATATATGTTTTTTCTTTATTTTGTAGGCGCGGTAGGCGGCGAAGGAGGTGACGAGGATGACAAGGAGAAGGAAGAGGAGGCCGAGAGAGAGAGGCAAGAGGCTATCAGGGAGGCTGAAGAACGACGAAAGGAGAAACATCGCAAAATGGAAGAAGAACGAGAGAAGATGCGGCAAGAGATCAGAGATAAGGTCAGCAATGATGATTTTGCTTTTGCGTTTTTTATTTAAAAAGTTTTTACATTTCTTTGGAATTGACTAATAAGTTCGATTTTCATACATTCATGATCTTTATCGTTAAAATTTGTCGTTATTCATGATTGTAGAATTTAATATTATATATCAGAATTATTACTGCTCGATTTTCGTTTAAATCATTTCAAAGGAATATAATGTTATAAAAAATATTATCCATTAAATATTGGATTGGGGAAAAAGTTTCTTCGCATTAAAAAAAAAGTTTTTATAAAAAAAAAAGTTTTTCATTTGTTGCGAAATTTTCATTACAATTATATCATTCGCTAGAGCAAAATTTTAGCTTTAAGAATCTGTTTTTTAAATTGCGATATGATTTTATCAGAATTATGAGCAAAGTCAGAATGCTCCTTTTTACTTAACTCGCGAATAACTCAGGAACAAAAAATCATAGGAACGTTAAAAAAAAATGATTTTATAGGAAAAGCTTCAAACTTTCACAATAAGTAGTCGAAAGTTTTCGTAAATTTTTTTCAGGTACGTAAGAGACCCTCAAAGTGAAAAGAAAATTTTTCATTTTTTTCAGCTCGTAGTTTTTTAAATGTAAAAATTATCAAACTCACAGAAACTCAAAAAATATAGTAACCTTTCGAAAGTAGAGATTTTAAGCTTTAAAACCCTTTTTTTAAATTTAAATTTCGTTCATTTTTGACGAAGATTGTATATACAATTTTGAATTAAAAAATACGAAGAAACTTTTTCCCTGATCCAATATTAAATTAATTAATTATTAATTAAAGACTGCCATAGTTTGAGGACATCAGGGCAGGTTTACTTGTAAATGTCTTTTTAATAATTTATGGCAATATGTATGATATTTAAAGATTTGAAGAATTGTTACATCAGAAACTGTTTGTTATTTGTAGTTTTTGTTATTTAGGTTTTGTTATTATTTGGAGATATTGTGAATCATATTTTTCAATTAATTACAAGTGGATTTTGTTCGTGACTATAAATATATCAGAGTTCGAATTTGAATATCGCCACGTGTTTCTCCAGCATTTTCCACAAGAGTCCTCGATTTCATCTGGGTCATGTCAACGCCGTTGACTCCGTCCTGACAGGACAATACATCAGGATTGATAATGGCGCGATCCAACGTGCATTTTACATCTCTTTCGTTCTCTCTCTTCCCTGTTCTTCTTTTTATCCACACATTTATTTCCCGCCCAACCGGTGAATGCGTTGGAAGTTTTTTGTGAGATCCCGTCGGCGTATATTGTTCTATCCTGTTTGATCAATGCGTCGACGGATTCTATTTTCTATGTGACTCAACCTGATTGCTTTGTCCTCTAAAAAAATGTCAAGTGGGTCGATCGATCGAATCAATTTTAACGAAAACTCAAGAGTTAATATCGACTCTCTTCTTGCACGTCATTAATTTTTATATTAATATGAGATCGAAATAAATGAATATGCATATAACACTGTATTTTTATTTTTTTAACGAAATTGTAAAGTTCATCATGAAATAGGAAATTGCTGATAGATTTGTATTTCTTTCACCGATATTTGCCCAACTGGGTTAGTAGCGTTAGATTTTACGTGATGTTAATTAGAGTGGAAACGCGATTATCTCATATGTAAACAGAAAATGATATCGTTGAAGGACCAAACACGTAATTCGACAATGTGGGACGTAGTTTGATCTGTGTATGTAGCACACCGACCGCACTGTTGCAGTATGCCATAATTCTACGGAAATGGTCGTCGAGTGGTTGAATATTGTAACTATTATCATGGCGAAGTTCGATTGTGGGAGTTAAAATGCGTCTTACAAGAGAATCACATGAAGTGTTAAATTCTGATTTTAATAAAACTTTACATGTAAGTTAGATAAAAAGAATGAATTTAGAAAATATTAGTTGTGACGGAAAAATGGTTTGAAAAGGTAAAATCATTCCTTATAGATAATGTTGGTTTCAGCTTTCTTCATTGTATCTTAAAAACTATTCGAGATATCAAAAAATATTTTATACAAAACTTTTATACTAACATTATGTTTATTCACGTCAATAATATTTTTGAAAAATAAAAAGATTTTTTTAATAAAAAAATTATTTATTAAAAATTATCGACGTAAATGAATAGAGGTATTTTTGTTCTAAAGCTTTTGTATAAAACATTTTTTGATATCTTAAATAATTTTCGAGATATAACGGAAAAAGCTCTCTGAAAATCGTTTTATCACATATAAGGGGTGATTTCATCCCTTCAAATTGTTTTTTCACCGCAACGGACATTTTCTAAATTCATTTTTTTATATAATCTGTATGTATACAAAGTTCCATTAAGATCAGAATTTATTACTTCATATAATTCTCTTGTTAGATCAATTACAATAAATCGGTAGATCAATAATAATCACATATGCGTTTCGACGAAATCAGTTTAGTGATTTAAGGAATATTTAATGAATTTATTCTAATCGAAGACAACGAAGAATCAAAAAACATTATTGTGATATAAAAAATTGCGTAAAAAATTAACGTTTTAGAGAAATATAAACATCTAAAAATCAATAATCCTATGAATTTAAATTATTAAAATTCAATTAAGCGAAATTTAAACTTGAACAAATCTTAAAGAACTTATGAAAAGGTAAAACGGTACTAAAAAGACTAGTTAGAATTGGACAAATGTAATAACGAATAAAGCGAATTTCAGCGGCTTCATTACTCAGCGAAATCTAGATTAAAAAACGTCTTTCAACACGATGGCGTTTCAAGATTCGTTTAGTCCTCAGCGGTTTTATTCGTAAAGCAAGGAGATCTCGACGGAATATAATTAACACTAATGGCTGCTTCATCATAAGCGAAAGAATTACCTTCAAATCCTTTCCGCCTCGGTAGAAACATGATTCTTCGAAAATGAACGGAAAAGATTGAGACGCGAGAGCCGCGATCTCTCATGAGAATAGAGCATCCACTATTCTCCTGCATAGTATTGGAAGAAGCTTTGGCATGGTAATCGCATTGGGTCAAATCCGATTTCCTATCTCGACTAATGAACGAAGTGGGACTTTGTTATAGTAAAGTCCTTGCGCAATTTGAAAATATTCATTTTATTTTCAAATTAATTTCGAGAATTTATCGTGAAAGAAACAGTATATAATATAATATATTATTTAAGCTATTTGTATAAAAAATACATATATATATAATATATATACATGATATATTTTATTTTCTTATTAATTTGTCTCAATATATTATTCATTTATTAGTATAAATATTTACTTTGTAACATTTATCATCACATCAAAACTGCGCGCGCGCAAATTAGATCCATTAATATTTATAAAATGCATTTATATTTATTTCGCGGTATGTGCGCGATTGCCTTACATTTTTTTGTTACTGCTGGCTAAAAATATATTTAGGATATATTTTTGAGATTACAAGATAATTTTAAATCTATAAATATTGTACGTACATAGAATAAGTGAATCTTTCAAAAAGACATTAATTGAAGCACTGAATCTTTCTCTCATTTTTCATAAAAAATAATGTTACACTTAAAAGTTGACACAATATTAAATAAACAGAAAAAGAGTAGTGAAAAGTAGGAAAAGAGAAAAAGAGCGAAAAATTTCCAAAGTTCTTTTATTGATCTAATATTGTTTGCATTTCACATTACTGCGAGAAAATATTACACTACATCCAGCACTTTATTTTCTCTGCTTCCCCATTAGCTTTCTGTTTTTTTGTCCTCAAGAACATTTTCAAAGACGAAGAATCGCTAAAGAAATTGACATTATTGTACACTGTTGTGACCATTAATATTATCATCTTTGTTGCAATATTTTTATTTTATTACATATTCTATTACATTTTATCGAATGATTAACTATCGTTCTCCGTTTATACAGTTTTTTTTTTATTATCTTTCAACACTTTTGCACCTCTTTCTTTTGATGGGTATTATTAAAAAAATAATGATGCGAACTATTATTTATAACATTTGATAAAAAGTTTCGATCTACATCGTAATTGAAATATTAGAATTAAAAAATTCGAAGAGTTTCTTGAACAATTAGAAATATTATTAAAATAAGTGTATGCGCTACATAGTAGATATTTGCTTTAAAGAAGCATTAATATAACACAAAAATTGAATTTCGAATTAAAATAAATTTATTAATGTTGTAAATGTATTTATCAAATCATAGTAAAAACATAAAGCACTGAACAGATCGATGATGTATATGAAGATGATGTTATGAATCAATATATAAGAGAATAATTTATTATCGATCTAGCCTTGATAACATTTTCAATCAAATGTAAAATAATCTATGGCTTCATATTGACATTTTCAATTAATCGAAACGATTGCAAGTTGCATAAAATCAGGTATAACATTCGATCAGTAGCATTCAGTATATCATAAGTCTTTAACGGTTGCATTAAATAATTTCCATTATGTGCTAAACCGATGGAGGAATAATGCTGCAACTTTAAAAGAAGCTAAATCCATCGAGATATTGTATTTTGATATCGAAATAAGAAACCAATGGCGTTGAAAATTATACGTGTAGAAGTCTACTTAAGTAAAATAGGACAGCTATCATTATAAGTGGCAAGTTCGGCATTAACCGTCATATCGTGGTTAAGATGATTGATCGGTTCTGTTGAACAAGCATATCCTAGTAAATGTCGAAGATAATCTGCGAGGAAGGAAGAGGAAGCATCTCAAATGTGACAACGGAGGCGAGAAAAAAGGCAACGATGAAGCGAACTAGGAAGAAAGAAGATTGAACTTAACTGGGGTCAAATTGACTCTAGTAGGGAGTCCCTGCATTCAATATGGCGACTTCCTAATAGAGTCAGGCTGACTCCTTTTAAGACGTTCACCAGATGAGGAACCGTCTCGCGAAAGTACCTTCATAAAGTAGCGTAAGCTTTATAAACAAAGTTAAGGTTATTTAAGTTATAAAGCATCAGTTAATTTAATGATACGGAGTGTCGTGAGCGAATTGCATGTACCAATTTATAGAAAATATGGAAGCTGATTTATAGAAAATTTGAATGATCGGTTGGATTTGTCACATAATATTAATTATATTAATTCAGAAATAATATCTTAGAATTGTCTGTTTAATCAAGAGTTTCTTTTTACATCTATATAATTATTTATCAATTAAATTTGCGTTCGCAAATAAAAAATGTAATAAGTATATGTAGATTTTCAAGAAAAGGATCAGGCGCAATAAGATACGCATCTTTTGAAACCTACTATATAACTCTGAATTCCGACAGAGAGATCTCGGATTCCAATTTCTCGATCGCGGTAATATGTCGCGGTAATATGACATCGTATCAGATCTTCTGTCCATTTTTAGCACCGACAAAGTTTATGATGCATATAGGGAATACCAAATATCATAATCTCTTCTTCCAATCTCTCCTTTCGCTTCTACAAACTAATAAATGCTTGCAGGTATAACGATAATAACAAATAGATAATCAAAGGAGAAGTATGGAAAAGTAGAAAAGAAAGTTATACATATGTTAATATTCCTGTTAAAATTTTGGAACATCAAATAAATTTAATCAAATAAATTTAAAAACATCAAATTTTCTAAAAGTCGATAAAATATTAAAATATTATCTGTTTAATATAACTCGTTTCATAGTAAAGTATTATCTATATTTAATGTAGTTTGTTTTATTTGTAATAACTATAATGGCGAAAAAAATATTTTTACATGAATAGTTACATAAGAACGTAGAATACATCGAAACGAGGGCGTGAAAGGACGCAGGCCTCAAAAACGCCGCAGTGCGACTCACTCTGCGGACTTCATGAAAGCAATACACTGTACTAATTTCGTTAGAACAAGCGAATGGTGCAAAATTTCAAACATTTGTTTATTCATTAATTACTATCAAACAGTTGCAATTATTGTATGTATTAAATCTAATAAATGTTACATAACAATATTTAATTACATAACAATATGTAGTTTAAGGAATAAAAATTCTTTATGCACAAGAAATTTTAATTAAAGAACAATTATGAATACCCAATTAAAACATTCTGAAAAATGTAATTACTATTATTAATATCTATATTGCATAATATTATATATAATTAATTAATACGATTTTACAACTAAAGATTATTTGACAATTATTTACATTTTATTGGTCTTCATTCTTTCTGTTTTGATTTTGGAATTGAGTATTTCTTAAATTGTCCGATTATTTTTAAAGTAATTGTGCACGCAAGTTAAATGTAACGCGTGATAAATCGCCGCGCAACTATAATCCGGCGCATAATAATGTTCTCATAATTTCGAACATGAATGGACAGAAGCACACGTACTGACGCAGATGCAAGAGGTGCGCGGACATGTTGCGCGTATATCGAGGAACATTAATTAATGTCAGGATCAGAGCATCAGATTTGACGCTTGCCATGTGGGCAAGCTCACACAGTGCTCGTTTATCCTTGTGTTATCTGTCTCCTCGACATAACGCGTATGTTCGTTGAGAGATTGAGAGTTTAAAAAACAATGGGTTCTTGTAAAATATTTAGTCAGAGAATTAAGATTATTAGAGATAAAATAGAATTCTTCTTCATGTCTGTTTTAAAAAACTTTTAAAATAGACATGAAGAAATTATTGAAGTACTAATTAGACTATTAGTCGACGTGTTTTTAAAATTGCAATTAAGAAAAAATTATTTACATTACAAGGAACAGCACGATTTATCATACATTTTTTGTGTACACTTCTTGACATTTTCATTATTTCCTTGTTACTAAAGGATTTTTTGACAAAAAACAACATATTGATGATTCTCCATTTTTTTAAATATTAATATGTTTGATATAATGAAGTAACTTATTAAATAAATAATCGTTGACTAAATATTATTTGCACTAACGAAATGTATATTGCTTGTAATAAAAAGTTGTGCTTGTAATAAAAAACTATACCTCTTTTTGCGCAATTATAAGTTAAGGGAAAAAAATATATCTTGTACTAATTATTATATTACTTATAAGTTTGTGAAACGATTCTTTTTTAACTAGAGAAAATTAATGTATAATTAAGTAAACTAATTTATATTTAAATGAACTGATGTATATAATAACAGGAATCGCGTAATAAGTTTTAATAGGTGTGTAAAATACTATTATCTATACATAAAATACGCTTCACTACTGTTTCAAATTGTTACGTATTTTTTTTTGAATTGCAAATATATAATACATGATATTAAAAAATCATTCAACATTTAAATGGTAAATAGTATCCATCGTATTAAAAGTTTTAATAAACATAGGTCGAAAACTTAACGTTTCTGAGATAAATAATTTTATATGTTAGTATCATAATTAACTTATTATCTCTTTACTTGTTGCATACGACGTGAAAAGAGAGAACTTGGATAAGTCGCACTAATAATTGAGATAAGTTATTTGGGAGAATTATAGATCCTGTGAGATGATCTCCCATAATGCCCATTCAGTTGTAATGGCTGCTTAATGTCAGCTTACTGATTTCCGGCGAAATTTATCATTATAAAGCAATGTATGGAAATTGAATTAGAATATTTAAATGCAGTTTGTAAACATTGAGATAAATCTTCACGTCGCATATGATACATAGAAGTCAGTTATAATATTAATAATATTATATAATAAATCAGTTATGATATTAATTTTGTCAGTTATGATTCAAAATTATTATATCTTAGAAACGGTTGAGTTTTCTGTTTTTTCTAAGGCTTTTATTCAGTATGGTGCAGTGTATCATCTATCATATAAATGTTCAATGGTTTTTTTTTACATTTTATATAATCAAACATAACGCGTTTTTTCTAAAAGCGACTCATCTAGAGGAAACAAAGGCATTCATGACGCTGACATGGAGTATGCACTATTATTCATTGCATAACAAATCATTTCACTGAAAGGCACCAATTATTAATGAGGCCTTGGTCAGTAGTACAACATGTATGTATCCTACAGGTAATGATAATACTTGTATGTGAGGCATATTCCCATACACACAGCGACAACGGCACTCGTACCATTAATGCTATGTCCAGTTTGCTCCGCAATCGAGCTTATTGTTGTACCAAGAGTACAAAGCATCAATACGCGAAGACCATTGCTGCATGTTATAAATTGTATTAAATAGCGAATAAAGAAAGAGAAACGGGGAAAGAACAAAAGAGATATTATTTGTTAAAATATAAATTAATATAATACAGTAAAATAAATATTAAATAATAAAAAGATATGTGATAATAAAATATATAATGTAATTTATTGTAAATATGTAATTGTAATATAAGAAAAAAATGTTACAATAAATATAACGATTATAGTATATATAACAATAAAATAATAAAATAGGATAATAAATTAATACTATAAATTAAAAGTAAATTAAAAGTATTCATAAAGATCTTATAAATGATTGAATAATTAAACTCTTAATATCAAAAAGAGAAGTTTTAGATTTTTCTATCGCTTGATGAGATATTATTTTTCTTTGATTTACAGTATAACATAAAGAAAAGGGAGGAGGTGCAAGAGATGCCACAAGAAGAGCCTAATCCTCTAATGCGAAAGAAGAAGACACCAGAGGAATTGGCGGCTGAAGCTGAAGCTGAAGACGAAGATGAGTTCACTAGTATGTAATGTTTGCAATATTACTTTGATATGTATTAATACAAAATATTTTAAATCCATTGAATTAGCTTTGACTTGAATTTTTTGTTACAAACCTAAACCCTTTTTTTTTTATAAAAATATGGAGACTTTAATAAGTTTTGAATTATGATTAAGAATAAAAAAATTGTTTATTTTCAATCATAAAAACTTAATCTCAAGTTAAAACTATATAAATACATAGCCCACTTTTTAAAAAATAAAAGTGAAAAATTAAGTTATCTTAAAAAAAGGTAAGATCACTGATAATAATCCTTTTTAAGAAGTTCAAAATTGTTATTACAGTATGAATTGTTATTGTCTATATAAACTGAAATATTTCTTAGGATATTGATATTTATATATTAATTTTAAACTTGGAAAAGTACATATGGACTCGCAAAATATGTTTGGTTAAAAAATGTAACAAGTTTTCTAATTTTGTAAACCTGAATTAATGTAATTATTTTCTATATCATTACTATACATATATAGAGAACATTGAATTATGTTTCTGTTAATATATATAATAGTAAAGAACAAGTCCTTAGGGAAATTACTCTAAATCCATAACAACACTAGAGAGATTCAGAGACATCTGCCAGCTTCCCGAATATATTTGGATTCGTATATGTGTATACAAATATACATACATATATACATATGTATATATATGTATATATATGATAATGACAAATAATTAACTATGTATATGTGTATAATTAAAATTAATTTGTCTTTTAACACACACGTACATATATAGCCACACACACATATGTATATATACACATAAGATAGCATATATAAACAAAATTATTTTATTGTATTTTTATCAGATTTTTATTTGAATCTTATAAATTACTAGAACAACTTTTAGATATATGAAACAAGATTAGATATTAATTCTAATTATAAGAATCAGTAAAAATTAATCTATCTTATTCATTAAAGCTTTAAAGCAGAATGTGCAGCGATTAGCTTTCTTAGCTGCAGAAGTACTTTATTTAATTGTTCTAATTTAATTTGTACTTCATATCAACAGTTTTACTTTAATTAATTTTCATATTCGGTTTATAAGAATGCACATAAGTGCAAATTAAAATTAGGCAAAAAAATAAGCTTTCTTCATAATTATCTTATCTTAATAATTTTATCTTTAAGAGAAAGATAAAATATGAAAAATAAAAACTTATTTTTTATAAAAATTACAAGTTTTAAAAAAAGATTACAATTTTTTAAACAAACAACTATGTTAAATATAAATTTTTAGACATCTGTTAGAATAATCATATAACAGATAAATTTTCTTTTTTTTTACACTCTTTTTCTTTCTTTTTTTATAATATCTTATATTTTACTTTACAAACAATTTTTATTTTCAATTATAAATTTTCATAAATTTTGCATATTTTTTTCTAATTATTCTTTTGCTCAAAATTTTATTGTTGATATTTTATAATATTAAATACATTCTCATTTTGACTGTTTCAGAACTGAGAAATACGATAGAAACGCAAGTGAACGAGATCAAATCGCAAATTGAAAGTAAGTGCAGTCTCCAATGAGCCTATTGCATCGCGCGGTTCATGAGAAAGATGACAACGATATTATACGTTGTCGTCGGACTCGTGTCCGCCCTGCTGCCCACAGGAGTAAAGGAGAAAAGGGTAGCGGAAGAGATAACGAAGCAACGAGAAAAAGGAAAACTGATACGTAGAGTCACCAACATTGGAACGCCATCGTCGTGTCGATCAATCGGAGATCAATTCCAGCAGTCGATTGGTCGGTCATTGCTTAAAGCAAAGTGAACGACGAGAATGAGCCAGAAGATACATTCCAAGGATTTTTAAAGGATTCCTGAAGGATTTTTCGTTATACCTTCACACATTTAGATGCAACTTCATCAAAAATTGAAAAGATCCTGTCGAGGATTTATCCTGCATGAAATTTTTAAAATTAGAAATTAAAAAAAGAATATCTTTTATGCAAAGAAACGTTAATCGGATTATCTAAAAAAAAGTAAATGATATGAAATATCGAAAATTGTAAATTCATGCAAGTTATAAGAAATTAAAAAGTCGAAAACTGAGAAAAGATGTGATCTTTTATTAAAATCTGATAACACACAAGAAATTGGCATTGATGACTGGAATTAAAATGTGATTACTAATTGAACATATAAAATTAAATTTAATTAAAAAAAAATTTTTTAATAAATTTTAAAATTCAACTATATTGGTGCTGATAATTTATTGGTAATTCCAGTAAACCATTCACTAAGAGAGAACCCCATAACAATAAAACTACAACTCAAAATAAATAATATTATCAATTATTTCAACAAAAATATTAATTAAATAAACAATGGAGCATATTGTTATATTTATATAATAAATGGAAACAATATCGAAGGAGAAAATAAATCAACAGAATAAAGAATAAAATTGAAAGATGCTTCTTGAGAAAATATAAAGACCAATTCTCTCGGTTTCTATACAACCAGATATAAATTTTAGTTTAGAATTTATGAATTTGGAAGAAATTCTCGACAGATATCCTGAAGTTTTTCAGCGCAAAACGAAGAAATCCAGACATTGACGATATTAAAGAAAAATAAAATTAATTACCAAAAATATCGACATAATAATCTTGAAGAGACGTATGAAAGATAGACACAATTAGTATATGTTTTTAGAAAGAATGGAGATCAAGTAATTAAATATCGCGGAGAAGAATTAAAAATCCAAAAGTCTAATCTCATTTCGGAAATAAACAAATGAAAGAACATGTGTAAAAACTAAAAGGAGAGATGACTGAAATATTGTCGATCGTCGATGGTGTTTGTGAAAGGAAATTTTAGGGGGTAAAAACGACGTAGACGACGACGAAGACAAAAAAGGAAAGAGAGAGAATGCTGACTCGACCAGAGTGTGATTTTTTTATGTAATTGTTGCAGTTAAAACGAAGTGTGAAGTGATGTTGTGTTTTATATAGGATAATTAGGTGTTCTGTAGAATGTGTTTAGCTGTAGTATAGTTTACAAATCAATTATCTGGTATGACGAGTGAAGTATCCAATTGTGGGTACTGAGTTATTTTCTATTTATAGTTCGTCTAGGTATTATCTATAGTTATATGAAGAATTTTTGGCGCAATTTGGTGATTTGAAAATCAACTGTTGATTATTAGAGGAAACTAACGATTCATTCTTTAATTATTACTAGTATTAATGATTAATATTTATTTTGATATTTTGTGGAATATCTAGTTATTCTGTATTTCTTAAGATCGTGTACTGCGAACGTTTCAGACATGTTAATTGATTCTCGGATAGGGATATAGGAGGTTTCCTACAATATTTCTTTGGTAGGAAATTTTTGAAAGTTCTCAGAAGTTTTTTAAAGAATCGTCGAAGCTTTTAAAGTTTTGTATTCGACAATTATATTATTCGGCATTAGATATATCTAATAAACCGTGATAACGGCAATATCACTTTTGTGATCTTATGGTTGCCATACGATTAGAGCTTCTGCGTAATTAGCTAGAAAATAACAAGCGTGATTTATGCGGTGATCAATTAGCTTATTTATTTTTCTGGAAATAAAAGATTTGTAGTGCACGGAAGAGGTGATCCACTTCTTGCTGCGTATGCAATTATATTGTTGCGGTCTGCGTGCAAGTCGGTTAGATGTAATCGGTTATCAAATGGGAAACTTCAGAAGTAGTTGAATATTCAAATATGGACCTCGAAACTTCCCTATTAGGTGGTCAATTAACAGCTCCAATGAATGCGTTGTAGTACAGAAACTATACTGTGCTTTATATTGCTGCACTTATAGTCTAACTAACTTTTTATTTTAATTGCTGTCCTTTTCTATCAAATTTATAAACCCTTCTTATTTTAAATGTTACTGCTTTTGACTGTAAAACTATGGGTTGCTAGCTATATAAACTTTTTTAATCATGACGTAAAAGGCAAGTTGTAACATTGTGCATAATAAACTTAATGATTTAAAATTCAATTTCAATAAATAATATCGGTTTTAATAATTAAATAAATTAAACAATACAATATAGGGCTAAGAACCAACTGAGGATAATATATGAGTAACAATATTATTGTAAACAATATAAAAACGTACAGACGTTTCGATCCCTCGGGTCCTTCTCAATGTTAAAAAATAAATTTTTATGTTACCGATAATTACGTAAGATGTTCAATATATAAAAAGCGCACGTGTACTCGCATATTGGAAATAATAATTATGATATGATTCAATCGGCTTTCCATCAGAACTTATTGTTGATTATTCGAATGTCCAAAATAATTAAAAAAATATAAATTGAGTACTGAAAGTAATTAATAACAGAGATATCAAACGGATCTTAACCCTGTCGAACTCTAAGATGTCATCTCTCAGTAATCAATTTATATTTTTTTAATTATTTGAGACATTCGAATAATCAATAATTGCAAAAATAATATGAAGGCATATATGCATCTTTATTACATTAATTTTCACTGGACCAACCTATTGTAAATTTGAGAGGATATTACGGTATACGATATACGGTATACGGTATTATAGACTTTATATTATGTGACTTCTGGAATAGACTAACAACAAGTTCTGATGGAAAGCCGATTGAATCCAGGCCATATCATGCCATAATTATTATTTCCAATATACGGGTGCACATGCACTTTTTATATATTGAACATTTTGCGTAGTTATCGGTAACATCAAAATTTATTTTTTAACATTGAGGAGGACCCAATAGGGAAACGTCTGTACGTTTTTATATTGCTTACAATAATATTGTTATTCATATATTATCTTGAGTTGGTTCTTAGCTCTATATTGTATTGTTCAATTTATTTAATAATTTAATAAAAATTTGTCTCAAAAAATTATAATACAAAACTAATAATATAAGAGAAAAATACAAAATTATAGTCTTTAAAATTATAAAAAAGGAATCAATGAGCGAATATTCGAGAGTGAAACTATTGATAAAACTTAAATAGCAACAATCTTAAAAAATGATCTAATTCTGTCACCGATTAATCTGTTAACTATCTTATATCGTCGATGCTACGGTAATAATCATATTGATTTTTACTATTTGTAGGCAATGTCCGGTTTATATCTACAGTTGTTACACATATACACACATAGTTATTATATCACTATTATTATATAGATACTATCTGTTATTGTATTCACTACAGCTTCACAACAACGTTACATTTTGTCTTTTCATTTATACAAATGAAATACATTAAATAGACAAAACGTGTTTTGTCTATTTAACAAACATATCAAAACTGAGTATATTCACGCGTCTAGTACGTTCAAGTTCATAATTTGTTGATAATAATTGCAAGTAAATTCATTAATGTGACTAAACCTTACTTAAAATTAACGGAAATAGTTATGACAGTAGAATGAAGATGATAATATAATATTTGCTAACAAAAAAATTCTTTATTGCGTTACTGATATATTTTAATTCTTCGCTAGCAGTCGATGTTTTATAGTTGAACGCAAATCTTTTTTTTTACAAATAAAAATTTAATTATACATATATTAATTATACAATGCCGCGCTATCTGGTCGCGCAGCATACGACTCTCGAGATAGATATACACTTACAAATATCATGTGCTCGAAAATGCAAGGTACAGGGCGGGATATTTAGCTTCTCTCGCTCGTTACAAACAATAAAGTTTATATATATATATATATATATAAATATATATTCATACATATATATACGTATATGGGAGTATATATATATATATATATATATATATATAAAAGATAACAAGAAAAAAGATGAAAGAAGTAAAAAAAAGAAACGCATGTTAGCGCGTTAAGTTTTTAGGAAAGATTTTTCGAATAATGAAAAAAATAATAATAATAACAAATGTAGCTGAGTTATGTAGTTGATAGAAATTCGTTCGATGACTGCTTTAACATGCTAAGGAGAGAAACGAGAGAGAAGACAGAGATGAGAATTTCTTATTATTATTGTTATCGTTATTATTAGTAACGCTATTATTAAAAATTTGTACTAAAAAATAAACACATGGAGCGTAACGGCAAAATCATCACGAAATATGACTAATGTTAATTACTAGTTCTCGCTCTGCCATTTATCTAAAAATTAAACGAGATTACTAATTTAAAAAGACAAATAGTGGGATAATGAAAAATATAACAAACATGTACACAAAACATCAATATAAACATTTTATTAAACTTAGGAAATGTATAGAAGAAAAGAGGATCAATATGAATTATTTATGAAATAATTAGATTATTTTTATTGTTTTCTTTTAAATTTTTTAAATTATTAATACTGATCTCTTTATTTTTAAATATTTTTTATTCAACATCATGAAAACTTAAAATTGTGAAAAAATAATTGTTATCTAAATAAGTACATTATTATTTCGAGGTTATTGTGTTAAATTTAGTATATTATTTCGTATATTTAATATATTATTCGTTTATTCATTAAAAATTTATTATTTGTTTTGTTGTTATTATTAATACATATTTAAATATATTTTTATATTTTAAAACACATTTTAAGTTTTCTTTGTTATTAATTTCTTAAGATTTTCGAATATTATATTATTATATTTATTTTAAATGCAAAAAATTTTTAATTTGTTTTGTTCTAATTCTATTTTTATATAGAATATTTTACATATAATTTTTTAATCTATAATAACACATATATATGAAAATTGGTATGCCATAAAAAATAAAAGCACAGATAAAAAGTGAGAGGGAAAAAGACATTAATATATTGTAGAACCATTTTTGTACGGAAGACAGAGGAACGAAAAGTATTTTTGTTATTTGAATATGTTAAATTTATAAATACACTCTAATCCTTACCCTTGAATTGCAGGGGATAATAATAAAAAATAAATTAGTAGTACATTCAATCCATAAACGATAAATAAGAAATTGATAATAAAGCGAGATTAATTTTATCGCTGACAGAGTGAGGTCAAAATAATTTAATGAATATTATAATATTTATATGCTTAATATTTATATGGTTTTTTAATTTTATTAATTAATTTATTTTGTTAATTTCACAAATATTTTCATAATTTTCTAAAAGGCTTGATAGCTGTAACTTGCAACAAATTTTTAATATATTTTTATTACAACTTAAAATTAAAAATAAAAATATTTTGTTCAATTATTTAAATAAATTTTTGTCTAATAAATTGGATTTTAAAGTATGAAAGACTGAAGTTTAATAACAAAATTAGTATGCACAGAAAAATGATTGCCGCTCAATTGAGGACATCACTCTATAGGTTTATAATTAAATAATCATGAAATTATTGTTCTAGATTCTAGAAATATCACTTCTTCAAAATTGTTCCTTTTCTGTCTTTCTTTTAAATCATCTTTAGTCTTACTCCTTTTACTGCTATTAATATTACAGTTTACAAACTCAATTACTTTCCCATCTATCGCAAAAAAATTTTGAACTTCTGGAATTTTTAAATCATGTTATTTTTTAATGTTTTTTATTTTTCCTCTGGTATGAATTTTCTCTTCTTGTATTTATTATATTTTATTATCTTTCAATTTTTTTTCTTTTCACATTTTATGTTTATTTTGTACTTTTGTAATTTTGTAATTGTATTTATATTATATTACTGTTATTATTATTTATTTATGTACTTTAGTTGATTTTATTTATGTATATAATAATTTTATATAAACTTTATATACAATTTTTAATTAATATTTTTGGAATGTACGTGCTCTTTTTGTTGTATAAAATTCTAAGGAAACATTTTCAGTTTTAGAAAACGCACTTTAATTCATTTTTATTCATTTTTAGTATATAAATTCATTTTTACTATTATT